ATATATATATATTCTTAAGAAAAGATATCAAGTTAAACAATTTTTATATAAAAAAAAATTAAGCTGTTTATTTATATGGAACAAACTTTGAAGGAAATAGTTTTAATTAAAATGATAGGAGGAACTTTTATACGACTTATAATAAACTTATTCATATGCAATCTTTTTTCTTTGAATCCCATATAATTAGACCTATTTTATTTTTTAAAAAAATCACTAATCTCCTTATTTGAGTGCTACTCGATCGGGCTTTTTCATTAAATAATAATTATGAGTAACATATTGTCATTGGTCTAAATAAACAGTATAATATTTATATACATGAATATTGGACTCATTAATTTTATTTCCTTATATATATATAGGTACAGAGGAAATATTAGTGAAAAAATGTTAAAGTATCACTAACATTTTTGTATTGTGATTTTAGACATGCATGATCGTCCTATATGCAATTCCAACTCTAGTTTCTTTAATTGGACTCTCTTGAAGTAAAATTTATGGCAGTATTTGGATACTCTCTTAAAGACACTTTTTATGAAGACCTCTTAGAAGATTAAAAACTTCATCCTTTTCTATTCTTTTCTTTCCCCATTTCAAGAGTTTCTAAAATTCTACTTGATTAGGATGTATTTTAGTTTGAGCTTTTGTAATTAACTTCTTTATCTAAATTAATTTCATCTCTTTTCATGTGATTAAAGTCTTTCTCACCGGAATGATTTGAAACTTAAATTTTTACAATTGAAACTTGAGATCTGAACTTGTTTTGACCTAACCATAGATTTTACTCCTTGCTATATCTAGGAATAGGATTTGATTGTATGAGCTAAAAATTACACTCATTTCTCTCCTACTTTTATCATTCATGTTTATTGTTTCTTTTCATTTCATTTATCCTCGTCATTTACTGATTAGTATGGGAGGACAGAAATCAGAAAAACCTTTCAATGCAGTGCAGCTGAGATTTCTTTGCTGCAATAAATTGAATCACCGAAAAAATCTCAGTAAAATGGTCCCCACCAATGGTACCATATCTGAGATGATGTTGCGAAACTCGATGCTATGAAAATGGATGGAGCAATCATCGACCCGTGTTCACTATGGTTCTGTCTTAGTTGTTGCTGCATGTTACCAAATGAAGACTAGGCCCCACTTGAGATAGCTGCAGAATCCATGGGGTCTGCAACTGACAAAGGATCACGAGTTCTATCAAGTTTTGGCCCAAACTCGTTGGCGATTGCTGATATCTCTTTAGACCAGTTTCACAAACATTAGTGCTAATTAATCCATGCATGCAAGATTGCTTCAAGATAAATGGATCATTCTCCTTTTTCTCCATCGTCTTGCCTCGTAGCAAAGTTATGTCAGTTTAGTGATATCCTAATAAAAGAAAAAGGTAAGTTTTTGAAATTCGAAGAAAAAGGTAAGTTAAACTCTTATTTCTTAACATTAAATATACTCTTCTTTTCTTTTCTTTCATTAAAACATACATTAATATTCCCTCTCCTTTTATGAATACGAATTACACTTAGACCACAAACTAAAGTATTTTCGATTAGCACACATGCACGAATGTATAACACTAGTTAATACTTACAAAAAATTATGAGAGTAATATTAAGCTAATCTGACTTTATAAAATAGGTTAAAATTTGTTGTAAGAGATTATTTTTATCCACAAAAGTTACATTGTAAATTTTATCATAAATTTATTTTTTTATCCGTTTGCATATAATCATATGATTTTTTTTTCAATTGCAAGTATTTATGAAGGACAGTGACTTCTTAACCAAACCAGCTAGTGCTAGCATATATATATATATATATATATATGTCTTAGACCTTTGTTCTACTAATCAGACAAGATATAAATCGAAGGGCAAAGGGCAAATATACAGTGCATATTGAAGTGTCAGTGTATTATAATATACACCGTACGTAGACTAAGAAATTAAAAGCCAAAATCTGAAGCTGAATGCCGGCGAATATAGTGGGAAGTCTACGCGTCAAAGGTTGCCTTAAATGAGCTCTGCAAATGCCAAATGATTTAGATTTTTTTATTGGTTCACTGTGGAGTATTATCTGTCAAACACGGATAATTTCTCTTGAAAATTTGATAGACATTAAATATATATGTTTTTTTTTTTTATTGAGTTTTCTGCGATCACAATAGTTAAGAGTTGATTCATGACCACTTAATTAATTAAAAGATTTGAATCTCTTGTCATTTGCAGCTACTAATTAAGTTGGTAAACCAAATTCCCACTCTCTAGTCGCTACCTTAAACATTACTGTAGCCAGAGACGGTAAAGTTCTTCTTATATTGGTAACAAAGAGGAACAAGTAACTGAAGTAAGATATGCAGCTCGTGGTAATGTTGGGTATATTTCTATTCTATGGATTTTTAAAAATGTGTACATCTTTCATTTTCTTTATTATCTCATTAGATTAGAAAGTAGTTAACAGAATTGATAAATAGATAAAATATTCATATAAAAAAACTATAGTTATAATAATTTACTATATATCTATATTATACAGTTATTACTTTACTAAAAAAATAAAAAGGAAATAATTATTGTATTTCTGTAAAAACAAAAGTTGACAATATATTTATTTGTTTTTTTAAATAATCAATATCCCATATATTATAAAAAATCGGTCAAAGAAATTTTCTAATTTTTGTTGATTGAATAAAAATTAGTTCTAATCTTATGTCAAAACTAGTAAATAATTTTTTGAAAAACATTATTTATCAAAAGTTAGATATTTAAATAACCACAAAGAAATAAAAAAACAAAATTCCCTAAATAGATTTGGATCTGTCCCTAACTTTTAGCTGAAAATTCCAAATTAATGATTGTAGAAGATAGTTTCGAATTTAACTGTGTATCACAACTTTATTGTTGTATACCAACTCCCTAGAAAGAATGTTGAAGGATAGATCTACTCCTCTTTTTTTTTAAAAAAAAAAAAATCATGTTTGAGATTTAATTTTCTTAAAATATTTAATATAATTGCATATATACTTTAATTCAAAATCATTTGTTAACCAATAAATGTTTCATCAGTGTAGGCATTTGGAGAATAGTGATGCATGCATGCATGGAAGATGCTCAAATCTTTTATTGCGATTTGCGAAGGTAGTATGGGCTCTTTCCCACTTTGAACACACGGAAAAGATTATCCAAACGTGACATGGATGGAAAGCTTATCCAATGTGCTTGTTGTTTTCCTTTGGCTATGTTTAATTATGATAGCTAGACATCAGAAAAGGATATATAGTTCTATTTAGCTGTGAAGTTTCTGAGGAAGCATAACAAATGGACAACATTGATTATGATCATTGTTACCGTCATGCTTTCCTTGCTGTCTTTTAGAGATGTTATGCATATACTACACATTAGTTATGCAGAAATAAGTCGTAAATATAGTTCTGAAATTCATATTTGTTATCTAATATCTTGTTAGATATGATCTTTTTATAAAATAATTTGTTATTATTTTGAGTATATTTTGTAGCATTAGTTGCCTAAAGGTTAGCCTCAATTATAGCTTGTCAGTTATAATGGCAACCTAAATTATAGCTTGAAATTTGTATATATTCCTTATCAATGAATATGCAAAGCACGACGGATGATTTCCTCCATGGTATCAGATTAGGTTACCTTCCTCAAATCCTAAAAACCTAGCCGTCACTGTTCTTCTCTTCTTCCAACCAATTTTTTTTTCCCTTCCTTCTTCCCATTGTTGCTCATCAATGGCCGAAAACTCCAAATTTCACTCCGCCCTAGCTGTCACCAACGTGAAGCATCTTATTCCAATCACCTTGGACATGGAAACCAGCCAATATCACTCATGGGCAACCTTATTTAAGGTCCAAGCTAAAGTTCATTCAGTGCTTGAACATATCATCCCCCCTACGAATGCTGCAGCCATAACAGCATATCAAACAACCAAGGCCGCTGATCTCCCACTATGGAACCGTCTTGATGTTTTTGTACTTCAATGGATTTATGCGACTATATCTCCTGATATTCTCACATCGATCCTCGTGGCTGATGATTCGGCTGAAAGAGCCTGGCAGCGTGTCGCTGATTTATTCCAAGATAACAAAAACTCTAGGGCGATGTATCTTGAAACTCAGTTCACAAACACGTGCTTGACTGATTTCTCCTCAACCTCCGCCTATTGCAACCACCTCAAATCTCTTGCTGACCAATTATCTAATGTCGGGGCTCCTGTTTCAGAACAACGTCTTGTGCTCCGCTTGCTCGCTGGACTAACCGAAGCCTATGCTAGTTTTGTCACGATTATGCAACAGAAAGATGAATTGCCCAGTTTTGCTACAACATGTTCTAGTTTAAAGATGGAAGAGACCACGCTTAAGGAGCGAGCAGCCCGTGAATCTGGTTCCACTGCCCTCTTAACCGTGGATGAAGGCTTCTCTTCACAGCCGCAACACCATAACAACAATATCACTTTATCACAGGGTCGTAATAATTCTAATCGAGGCAAGAAAAACAACCGCGGTAGAGGCAACAACAACCGCGGTGGCAAAGGCAGACGCGGTGGTGCCTGGGCTACAGGCGCTGGAAGGGGCGGTGCACCACAACAGCAGCAGTACCAAACCTACCCACCGTACCAGCATCCCTTCTTTAATCCTTGGGCAGGGTGGGCCCAACCTCCCTGTCCTTATCCAGCAGCCTCATGGCAACCTAGACCTCCACGCAAAGCTGGTATTCTTGGATCAAGACCACCACAACAAGCATACAATGCATCTGTAGCACCATCCAATGTTGGTTCCACACCTACAGATATTAATGCGGCCATGCATAGCCTTTCACTATCTCAACCAGATGAGAACTGGTAATGGACACCGGTGCTACCTCTCATATGACGGCGGACCAAGGTACACTCTCATCTTATTTTTATTCGAGCAAAGATCATAATATTGTTGTTGGTAATGGTCATTTGATTCCTATTCATGGTCATGGAAGCACTACACTATCCCCACCCCACCCTCCTTTAAACCTAAACAATGTGTTGCATGCCCCAAAACTCATTAAAAACCTAATATTTGTTCATAAATTTACAACTGACAATTTGGTTTCTGTTGAATTTGATCCATTTGGATTTTCTGTTAAGGACTTGCAGACGGGGAACCATCTAATGAGGTGTAACAGCACCGGAGATCTCTACCCCATCCCTTCCAAAAATCAGGCCATATCTTCCCCAACATTTCCTTCGGCCTTAACTGTCTTGTCTCCTAATTTGTGGCACAATCGCTTAGGCCACCCAGGACCTACTATTATCAATTGTAATAAAGGCAGTAATGATTTTTGCACTTCTTATCCTCTTGGTAAACATGTGAAATTGCCATTTAATGCGTCTTGTTCGTTCACTGAATTTCCATTTGATATTATTCATAGTGATATTTGGACATCACCTATATCTAGCTCTTCTGGCCATCGATATTATGTTTTGTTTCTTGACGACTTTAGCAAATTCTTGTGGACTTTTCCCATTTCTAAAAAATCACAAGTTTTTTCCCTCTTTCAATCGTTCAAAACTCTAATTAAAACACAATTTGAAAGAGACATCAAGAATTTCTAATGTGATAATGGCAAGGAATTTGCTAATAGTCAATTTCAAAAATTATGCCAACAAAGTGGAATGCAATTTCGATTCTCCTGTCCTCACACCTCTCCTCAAAATGGCAAAGCTGAAAGGCAAATTAAATCAATCAATAACATTATACGGACCTTATTAGCACACTCATCCATGCCACCTTCCTTTTGGCACCATGCTCTTCAAATGGCCACTTATCTTCTAAACATTCTTCCCACCAAAGTTCTTGGATATTGTTCCCCAATGCAAGTCCTCTATCGGAAAGATCCCATCTATTCCCATCTTCGTGTCTTTGGTTGTCTATGTTACCCACTCTTTCTACAATTCATAAGTTGCAAGCAAGGTCAACCCCATGTGCATTTCTTGGCTACCCATCACATCATAGAGGTTACAAGTGCTATGATCTTTCGAGTGGAAAAATTATTATTTCCCGTCATGTAATTTTTGATGAGACACAATTTCCTTTCTCAAAAATCCATGATCCATCCCAAGTGTGTATGACCCTTTAAGTGAAGACACCTCTCCACATTTAACTCATCACCTATGAACCACTCTCCCTGTTACAAACCCCACCACACATCCAGGCCAAGACTCTCGACCACCTTCTCCTCAACCAACCCCACCCGCTCCCACCATTCAAATCTTAGCCTCACCAAATACTCCTCTCTCTTCTCTGACCACTACCCATCAGCCCCCAGTACCCAATCCCAGGCCTCACCAAATGACCACTCGTAGTCAACATGGCATAGTTAAACCAAACCCCAAATATACCCATAATTTGAGTACTTCCACCACCACCTCTATTTCCCCTTTACCAAAAAATCCGGTGAGTGCTCTTCATGACTTAAATTGGAAAAATACCATGACTGATGAATATAATGCTCTAATTAAAAATAAGACATGGGAGTTGGTACCCCGACCTCTTAATGTGAATGTAATTCGGTCTATGTGGATTTTTCGACATAAACACAACTCTGATGGTTCTTTTGAGAGGCATAAAGCCCGTCTTGTAGGTGATGGCAGGTCACAAAAGAAAGGAGTAGATTGTGATGAAATATTCAGCCCGGTAGTGAAGCCGGCGACCATTCGCACAGTTTTGAGCATTGCTTTATCAAAGTCATGTCCCATTCATCAGTTGGACGTCAAAAATGCCTTTTTACATGGTACTCTCAATGAAACAGTTTATATGCATCAACCCATGGGTTTTAAAGATTCATCTCATCCTGATTATGTTTGCTTGTTAAAGAAATCACTCTATGGCCTAAAGCAAGCCCCTCGTGCTTGGTACAAGCGTTTTGCAGATCATGTGGCCACAATCGGTTTCAATCATAGTAAATCTGATCACTCACTTTTCATATATCATAAGGAATCTGACATTGCATATATTTTGTTGTATGTTGATGATATTATCCTAATAGCTTCCTCTGACTCTCTTAGAAATTCAATTATGTCATTATTAAGTGCAGAGTTCGCTATGAAGGACCTTGGTCCACTGAGCTATTTTTTAGGGATTGCAGTTACCCGTAATGCAACCAGTATGTTTCTCTCGCAGAAAAAGTATGCGGAAGAAATTCTTGAAAGAGCGGGGATGACTAATTGTAAAACTTGTCCCACACCGGTTGATACAAAGCCCAAACTTGGTGCCTCTAATGACATTCCCTATGAGGATCCTACTAAGTATAGACGTCTTGCAGGTGCATTACAATATCTTACTCTTACAAGGCCTGACATTTCTTATGCATTGCAACAAGTATGTCTTCATATGCATGATCCCAAGGAAAATCACATGAATGCTCTCAAGCGTATTTTACGTTACATTCAGGGTACTATTGATTTTGGCCTACATCTGTATAAATCCACCATTGGCAACCTCCTCTCCTACATAGATGCCGATTGGGGTGGATGTCCGAATACTAGACGATCTACCTCTGGATATTGTATTTTCTTCGGTGATAATTTGATTTCATGGTCATCCAAACGACAACCTACATTATCCCGCTCTAGTGCCGAGGCCGAATACCGAGGAGTAGCTAATGTTGTTTCTGAATCTTGTTGGATTCGAAACCTCCTTCTTGAGCTTCATTGCCCAATTCACAAAGCTACAATGGTGTATTGTGACAATATGAGTGCCATTTATCTATCAGGTAATCCAATTCAGCATCAACGCACAAAACACATTGAAATGGACATTCACTTTGTACGTGAAAAAGTTGCGCGTGGCGAAGTTCGTGTCCTTCATGTTCCATCCCGCTATCAAATTGCTGATATCTTCACCAAAGGCCTTTCGCGCATACTCTTTGATGATTTTCGGGACAGTCTAAGCGTTTGTAAACCTTCCGCTTCGACTGCGGGGGTGTGTTAGATATGATCTTTTATAAAATAATTTGTTATTATTTTGAGTATATTTTGTAGCATTAGTTGCCTAAAGGTTAGCCTCAATTATAGCTTGTCAGTTATAATGGCAACCTAAATTATAGCTTGAAATTTGTATATATTCCTTATCAATGAATATGCAAAGCACGACGGATGATTTCCTCCATATCTGAATCTAGCTTACTGAACCAATTTAAAGAATAAGAAAAAAATTCACTCACAAATTATTTAAACCATTATGTGTGTAAAAAGTTTAAACTGATCCGTATTGATTTTTAATCGATCCAATTTATATTAAAAAATTAATTTATTTTGAGGAAAAATTCAACCGACCCACTTTACAATATTGTTTTGATTACTTAATTCATTTTTACAATGTGGATTAGTTTTATTCGATTCAATTTTTTTAAAGAAAAAACTTATTTATACATGAATATAAAATGAATAATCGTATATAAACAAACCAATTTTATTTTAAAAAATCCTATCCATATTTAAAAAAAAATGAATGAATCTACTTTATAAAAAATAAATTGATTTATTGATCAACCTTTATAAAATAAATTGGTTGAATTTGATTTAAATTTTTCAAAAAACTCAATTTATTATCACCTCTAAGTATAATTAAGTTTAAGGGAAATCAACTTTCGATCTTAAATACTATTGCGCATATTGGTATTAATTATAATTCTTTGATAATGCATGTTCTCACCTGAGATTGATCTAGGGTGATCTCTTTGATGAGATTGGTGAGTCTCATCTGCTTCGTACGTTGGTTATTCCAAGATGAGGGTGGTACCTACAAAAGAGACTCTGATGCTTAAGTTCATTTTTGATAGCGTAGATGTCTTGAATATATAGCATGCGTACTTGGTGATTTTTAGGGTTATCTTGGTTTGCCAACACATTGGCAATTCTAGGGTTTTATTGTGATTGCGGCACGATGATAAGATCATATTTCTAGTTGGTGGATGACGTGGCTTTTATAAGTCGATCTAGCTTTCCGATGTCATTGACTCCTGGCTGAGCTTGTTTACTTGGTCGAGCTTGTTCGAGTTCACTAACTCAGTCGGGTTGGTACAGTAGGCCCCCGAGCTTTGAGCACCATAGTTGGATCGAGGAGCTTACTTGAGCTATTGGGCAAGGAGTTGCATCTTTTCATTTCCCGCTCTTGGGCCAAGCACCACGTGTCATAGAAGGGTCGCTTCTTTTCTCGAAACGGTGGCGGCTGTAATGAAGAGCGGAGGCTCATAATGATCGGTTGCACCCTGCCATTATTAGCCCCTTTTTAATGTGTTTGCTCCTTTGTCGTTTATTGGGTTTTGGTTTAAAATGTTGGAGTTTTTCATTTCCTTCTTCACTTTCGCGCTTGCCATTACCACTACTATATTTGCCATGTCTCCACTTTTTTGTTGCGTTTGTGTATTTTTTGGTGACGTCTCCGCCTCCTGTCTTCACCATTCGCCAATCTACGAGTGTCGGTCTCTAGAGTTTCCAGGTACTTCTCCCTTGCTCTCTCCTCTTCCCCTTATGTTCTTACTTAAGAGTGTCGCGACGCTGCCCCCGAGCCCATGGCCCAAGGCGTTGGTCGTTCGGCCAAAGGAAAGGCCAAAGTTCAGGAGGAGGGGGTCGTAGTTGCTAGGGGGATAGCCATCAACAACAATGGAAAAAATAGGAAAAGGGGTGGGAACAATCAGAGGGATTCGCACCCCACCATC